AAACATCACACGGGAATTCTGCATCAATGACCTTTTACTGTGACTTTCAGTTACGCTAACACAGGCTATTTCTATCGTTGTGAGTTTATGAAATGGGCTTAGTAGCATGCCTGGAATTCTAGCGATTGGGAAGCCAAAGGAAGATGATTGTGAGTTTGAGGCCAGTCTGGACTATAAAGAGAGATCCTGTCTTAGAAAACAAACAGAAAAAAGGAGCCAAGCTAACAAGCAAATAAGAATTTATGTACTGACTGCTGTAGAAGAAGTGTGTGATGGTGCCTGCATTTCAGACCATTGCAATGTGGTCTGTTTTTCTAAACATAATTTAAATGATTATTAACATGAAGTAGATAGTATAATAATAAATGAAATGAGATGGGAGTTTGAAGCAGAAGAGAACAATTATAAAAGAGTAAGGGTTTTTCACGGAAAGGATTTGGAAAAGCTTGAAAGAGAAGCTGGGATTGAAACTAAAATAGCATCCATTAAGAAGAGCACAGAGGAGGAGGGGGTGGATGACAAGATATCCTTCCTAAACTGAACAAACAAGCCGCCTAACATTAACGTGCATGAGGCCATTTTTCAAAGGAAAAAAAAAGATATAGATTGAGAGACCTAAATCTAAATGTGCAGTTGAAGGCCACATTGCTTTAAATAGTGGGTTCATCATGGAGTATGTGTAGAAGACCAATTGGCAGATTTCTAGCAAGGGACTGACATGTTGTCAACCCTTTGGAAAACTGTTGATAACAGTACTTGTCTGCACTCGTAAGGACAGACTGGATCAGCCAGGCAGGCATGGCAATTGTTACACTGTGAAGCAGTGAAGAGTCTAACTAGTGTCGGGGAAGGTCGAAGAAGAGGATAGATTGGAGAGTGAATTAAAGTGTGGCCGATACAACAACCAGTCTGATTAGATGCTGATAGCTGGACTTCTGCTCTGAGTGAAGTGAGAGGGGTATTCCAAGGACCACTTTCTAATACCCATGTCCTGTGACTGAGCCTCAGATTGGATATTGCAAGAACTAACCATTGACCCCAAGTGAGAAGAAACCTCCTCTTCCTCCTTCTTCACTTTGTCAGAACCACATGGCTGCTTCTTTGCTGAAAAAAGATAGTAAAGGAATATTTTTACCTTAGTTGTAAAAAGAATGATCAGCATTTAATGTGCAAGTGACATGTGCTGGGGCCTGCACTCCACAGGTTGAGGTACACAGGAGAGGTGGTGTGTGCTGGGGCCTGCACTCCACAGGCTGAGGTGCACAGGAGAGGTGGTGTGTGCTGGGGCCTGCCCTGCACAGCCTGAGGTGCACAGGAATGCTGTAGCTCCTTCCAGAGATTATCATGATTTGATGCTAGCACCAACTTCTTCCTCTGTTAAACACTATATAGATGGAAAAGATTGAAGCCTGATGTCGAATTTGTGTGAGGTTTTTTGCCCTGTTTTTGTTTGAATATCCATCACACAGCAATCCTCAAAACAGAAAATGAAAAGGAATATCCAGCCATTGCTAACTGGCTGCTTGGTTCCTCTGAGTCCTTAGCTTCAAGGATTTTTCAAAAGATATTATTATTATTATTATTTTCTGCACCACAGCGCAGAGTTGCTAAATCCAGAAACTGAAACATTTTGAGAAGCAAATCATTTCTGGGTGAATCAAAGCCCCTGGAACGTTGCCCTGGGATTTTAAAGATAGCGTTTCATAGTGAAAAATGTTTCATTTTTAGAGGAAATCCCAATTATGCAAGGCCACCCCACTCACTTCCTCTTGGTTTGCGGGTGTCAGATGTGGTGTCCCTGTCCCCTCTTTACCTGTAATGAGCCAGGAGGCCACGAGCGAAGGGGGAGGTCACCTGACCCCGAAAAGTTGTGCCAGCATGGCCTCTCTTTGTAGCTGAGGGAATCTGAGGCCGGTGGCTGTTTCCCACTCCACCTGAGCTCCTAGAATTAGGCGCTTCCTTTATTCCATCCCCAGGAACTGCTCTTCTGGCTGCCATTTGAAGGCGAGCATCAGGAGCGGGGTGTGACGTGTTTGAGCAGGAGGCGCTTTCGTCACATCCTGCGTTGACTAGGTCTGTGTTGTTCCTTGCTTCTTGCGCTCCGCAGCCCTGGTGATGGATCCAGACAGTGGAACAGGAGAAACCACGGGCTCCTGTCTTCACAGTGGGAGCTCTGTCACAAAGTCAGACTTTAAGATACAGCTATAAATCCCACAACCCCAGGGCAAGTTACATAAGGCTCATAGACCTCAGTTTTCTTTATCTACAGTACAAAGCAACCTGGCGAATTAAGTGAAGCAAAGATGTAGGGCATGTGGGAGCTGACTAATAAACGGGACCACGTGCTGCTGTTAGCAGGACTGTTGAGAATAACAGTGGAAATGGAATCAAAACAAAGGTGAAGCAGTGTATGTGTGTGTGTGTGAGTGTGTGTGTGGCGGGGGTGGGGGGGACTCTGGTAAAGGGCCACCAGCTGGAACGCTTGCCAATTCGGGAGATGCTCTTCCAGCCTTTGTAATATGATGTGGAAGCTGACCTTCATTCCACAGCGATTTTACCTCTTACAAGCTAAAGGGCAAAGCGAAGCTACGCTAACCCGAAATCCACTTTCAATCCTCTTGCCTTCCGAGTTCAACTTCTATTTCAGAAGACTAAGTTATCGTTTTCCACGGTGCCACCACCCCGATCCTTTCCAACCATGGCCTCCTTTTGTATTGCATTAAGGCAGTGTATTGCAAACTGTGTGCTAATATTCTCTGCTTCTTTGGGATGTAGCTTCCCAGTGAAATCAAGATTTCCTTGAGCATGAGGAACTGGAGTTCCACTTCTTATCTTACCGCTGTAGGACCTTGTATGGCTGAGCACAGAGAACAACTAAACTAATTACCATAATGAGATGGAAAGAGTAATAGCCTTTTTTCCCCCTTATACCAAACAAAACCCATTAAAGATGGGGATACATTTCTTCCCTTAATAGATAATAAATTTTATCTCAGCTACTGAGGGATGTTTATTTATTTTTTGCCTGTTAATTTTCTACATTGTGACCTTGCTTTCTTCTTCACTCGTACAAAGGCACAGAGTTTTAACTGAGAAGCAACACGTTACAATCATTTCATTTAACTTGCACATTTAAATTGTGAAGACCTCCCGACACCCGAGTCTGCAGTGACATAACCATAGCTGGTACCCTGAACTTAGGATGAGTCTAAATCACTGGTCATCCTTATCCTTCTCACTGCAGTAGAGGACTTCCTGGTCTGCTTTCTGTGTGTGCATTCTTTCTGCCTTAGTGCCTTCTCTTATTTTCCCTCGTTCAAATCTCTCAAGGAATTCACGTTTCCGAGATGAGAGGTGTGCCCCAAACAAGGACTTCTAATTGCCTTAAAGTCATGTCAACTGTAGTTTTGCAGAGGAATTCACAATAAGTAATTGTGTTGCTTTGAGAAATCCGTTTTAGATTTCTAAAGTTGAGAAGGACATATCCATATATGTGTATATACACATATAGGCAAACAGACATTTGTTAAATTTCCTCTTCGACTTAATAAGGAACAGCCATATCATCATTCTTGACAGTTGTTTTATCCCAGTGTAACGGCACACTGTGCCAGAAAATCACCAACGCAAATTCTACGGGGGAGGTCAGACTATCGGTGGGGCTCAAAGTCAAAACCTCACAAGAGAAGGAAAAAACAGGTCAGTGATTCTTTCCTCTGTGGTCCTCTCACATGCCTTAGTCATTTTATTTCCCTTTCTTTCCTGTCTTGTATTAGTGATCTGTTGTTACAGTGATAAACTGTTCCAAAGCGTAATGCTATCAAACATCAGTCATTTTTTACTTCACACAATTTCTGAGAGTCAGGAGGCTGAGAGGCTGAGCCAGGTCTGGAGCAGAGTAGGGCAGTCCAGAGGTCAAGAGCTCAGTCTGAGGCTTTGGCTCCTCATCCTCTTTGGACATTTTGGCAGCATTGCTTACCACCTGGCTTTCCTCAAATCAGATGATGAGAAGGTAAGAGGTGTGGGTGTGTGGAGGGTGGTGGAGGAGTCATTTGAAAAAATGGAAGCTGCGGTGGGATAATGCTTTTGTACACTGGTTTTAATAAAATGCTGATTGACCAGTAGCCAGGCAGGAAGTATAGGTGGGATAAGCAGACAAGGAGAATTTTGGGAAGAGGAAGGCTGAGTGATGCCAGCCCACCATCCAGGGAGCAGCATATAATGGCACACAGGTAAAGCCATGGAACACATGGCAACATATAGATTAACAGAGATGGGCTGAGTTTAAGTGTAAGAGCTAGTCAGTAGTAAGCTTGAGCTAATGGCTGAGCAGCTTTAATTAATATAAGCTTCTATGTGTTTACTTGGGTCTGAGTGGCTGTGGATCAGGTGAGACACAGGAAAACTTTCAGCTACAGGAAGCCACATTGTCTGTTCTGACCCACACCCAAAAATGGCAACTCCTCATTTCCGGACTGTTCTGTCGATCACTGATCAATGCAGGTGCTAGGTGGGAGGAGAATGATGCAAAAATGTAATAGGAGGACCCCAGAGGTTGCTGAGAGGTTGGCTACCTCCATTCCTTCTCCTGCAGAGTCCTTGCTTTAATAGCCCCTTTTCAACAGAGACTGTTAGATACCAATTGCTAGAAATTTTGCTTCACTTTTGTTTGTTATAGACAGACACATGCATCTAACACTAAAGTTCATTGTATTTTATTAATGTTTTCATTTGAAGCCAAAATGATTTGTAGCTTCAAAGTAGTAAACAGTAGAGGGCATTGTTAGGGTGCATGGCCTTGCAATGAACTTTGAAAGTAAAGGTATGAAATGCGTGTTCTTTTTTTTTTAAATACAAGTCTTTTATTATTCCAAAAGACACCCCAAATTGTACTTAAATTCAGGATCTTGTTTCTGGAGCTGGGTAACTTAGGACTTTCTTATCAGCCTGCCACACTGTTCCCTTTTCAGACACATAGATACCAACCAAAAACTTTCTCATATCCTTGTTTTTAGCTGTTGTGGCTTGCTGAATCAGAGTCGCTGAATTTGAAACAAGTTCAATATCATTCCCTTCAAGGATTAATTCATCCTTCTGGGCTTGAGAGACAGAACAAGCAATGCTTGTCTGCATCCGAACCCTGCGGATGTATTTTTCACCCATGAAGTTTCAGACTTCAACCAAAGACCCATTCTCCTGAGTAACGGCATTGATGGGAAAGTGAGCACACACAGCCCTCATCCGGTAGGAGAAGCCCAGTGTAACACCCTTGATCATGTTCTGAACGTGACTGCAGATGGTGTGGACAGTGGCCAGCTCCTTTCTGTTACCCCACCATTTGTCAACCCGGAGCCTCTTCTTCTTCTTCCCAAGGAGACTCGGCTCTATATTGATGTGCTTTAAGTCCCTCCAGAGGGTTCCTCTGGGGCTCTTCACAATGGCTGTGCACCCCTTCGGAGTGATGTTCACATTTTCTGGAATGTCCACAGTCTGAATGCTGAGAATGGTCTTCATTCTCCCAGTAGTTGGGGCAAAAAGGGCAGAGCGTGTGTTCTTATATTGAAAGACAGCCAGGTAATTTATATTTTTATCAAATTGGTTTCTAAAAATTTGGAGAATAAGCTGGCAACATCAAACTTTCCATAAATGTTACTGTTAATTTTAAATGACCTTTCTGAGTTTTTTTTTAATTGTTGTTGTTCTTTTCTTTCTATTTTTTTTTTTTTTTTTGATCAGCACATGCTTTTTTGGTCCAAATCAAGACTAAAGGAGCAGGAGCAGATAATATGAAAATGATGCTGACATGGATGGTGTGCAGACACCCATAAGGGAGTATACTGTCTTTTACTGGCTTTGTCTTGTCTAGGAGAGCGGACTTTTCAGTTCCCTTTTTGCATGCTGGTAAATTACAGGAGCACTGACTGCTACCAGCTGTTTTCATGACTGATCCTGAATTGGTAAAAGATGAGGCACCTTCTCCTCCAGTAGAATGCAATGTGTTTTTGGTGGGGGCACCTGAGAGGGCAGAATACACCCTCAGAACTGATTTGGGCCCTTTTGTTCTACACTCCAGTACTTTGGGGAACGTGATTAGAGGAAACCATTACTATTGGTCACAACAACCTGATGAGACTTTGCAGTTGTCATGGTAATTGTGCGTCTCTACTCTCACCGTATCTCTACTTTTGTAGACTTTACCGTAGGCCCACTCACAACACCCTCTATTGTCTACCAACACTGTGGATGAAAAGACATTTTTGAAGTCACCAATCTTTCAGGGGTCTCAAATGAAAACTTCGTTGAGCAATAAAATTTGCTGTTATGTGTGTGTGCATACATTCCTGTGTATTGTTCTTCATAATATTTCACTAATTGATTACACCCGTTCTACTACTGTGTAGTTTGAAGAGTCTGTTTTGTTTTTATTATTTTTTTTATTAAAAGTCCTTGGTGTTAAATATAATGTTGCTAGTCAGAGGTGGGAGGTGGATCTTGAGTTTCTTGGGAGAAATGAAAAGTAGTAATGATGAGCAAGTAGACAAGGGGCTAACAACTCCTCTTATATCCCTTCATTCAATCTTATATAAAAACCTTAAAATGCTTTATACTGAAAAAAACAGGAAGTAGAAACACAATGAATTTAATGTCTTGAGGATTATGCATCTGATAATTGGTAGTTTTGATGTGAACCTCTATCCTAGGCAGCAGTCCATAATAACTGGTAATTCTGACATCACTAGTGTAAGACTTGCATAAGAAAATGAACAGAGGAGAGTCCTGTGCTATGAACACTTTAAATAAATGTTGATTCCCCTTTCTTCTCTTATTTTGAGAATTTAGCCATCAGAAGAACACCATCTCAACATATGTTTAAAATGATGGCCTCTGTTAAAAGAGGTTCCTGTCTGAGTTTTACAAAAAGATACCATGATTCCCCCTCCCCCTTTTTAGAAACAAATTGCAGATGTTCATAGGATTGACAAAGGAGCAAATTGGACGCCCCTGGGTTTGTTCTGGAGCTTGAAAATCTTTGTGGAGCAAAATGCATGTTAAAGGGAGTTTTCCTCTCTCTTAAGTAGTGCCTATTCTAATCATAACCGTGGAAGGAAATTTAAATGCAAAAAGGTGAAAATTAAAAGAACTATAAATAACAACAAATGGCACCCTTGTAAATACAAAGCCACATTCACTCCCAGGACTGTTACGTCTACAAACTATTTGAACAACAGTTAATAAGCGCATTCCTGGTGAAAGAAAATGCTAACTGATGTTTCATCTGACTGCTCCCTTTGTTGAGCGTGTTCAGAAACGGAGAGCTGGGAGATAGGGATTTCTGCGCTCTTTGCATTCAGATGAGTCCATGTGCCCACCAAAGAAAATGAAGAGTTTTCAACTTCCCCAAATATTCCTTTGCTAATATTCATCTCTGTCAAAAGATAATAGCATGCTTTGCTTGGATTAGCTGAACATCCATCTACTTTCCTTGATGGTTTCCCTTTCTCTCCACTCTCCTGCTGAGATAGCCGACATTATGGGTCACAGGCCACTGGAACTTGGCCTTTCCCGCTGTTTATCAGGCTTGTGTTTAGGAAATCATGGGCTAAACTAGGGGCAGCAAAGAGGACCACTTTGACTGTTCCATAGCAAGGGAAGGCCAGGGAGTTATAGGCCTGATTTCTACCCCATCCTCTGCATTCATAACTGCAAAGAGGTCAACACAATAGGACTAAGCAACTGGGCTTGAGGGTAGATGCAGTGTTCGGGTCCTAGAGGTTATAGGTAGTCATATATTCTATATTGGATAAGGTGTCTCTTCTCTCCTCTTCCTTCCCCTCCATTTTATTACTGTTCTGGACAAATAGCACTAGCTTAAGTTATATTATTTATATGAAAATAAAGATGATTTTCAGTGGTTGGCCACATGGACATGCCATACAGTGCTTAAAATTAGCACAGAGGATATACTGAAATTTGTAATTTTTTTTGATTTTTGATTATGTGGTTTCACATTCGTGCTAGGACAGTTATTGTATTATGTGATTATGTGTAGCTAGAGTTTTCCTGCCTGGCCCACAGTCAGGACAAATCTCTCTCACCTGCCAGTCCCACAACCTCTCAGACCCAACCAAGTAAACACAGGGACTTATATTGGTTACAAACTGTATGGCTGTGGCAGGCTTCTTGCTAACTGTTCTTATAGCTTAAATTAATCCATTTCTATAAATCTATACCTTGCCACATGGCTTGTGGCTTACCAGCATCTTCATGTACTGTTTGTCATCATGGCGGCTGGCAGTGTCTCTCTGACTCAGCCTTCCACTTCCCAGCTTTATTCTCCTCCTTGTCCCGCCTACACTTCCTGCCTAGCCAATGGCCAATCAGTGTTTTATTTATTGACTAATTAGCAACACATTTGCCATACAGAACATCCCACAGCAATTATGTCATCTAGTTTTCCTAAATCTTATTCAGTTCACATATAAAAGAGAGGTCAATAAAACCTTTTTATGAGTTGTTATGAAAATTCAGCAAAATTCAGGCTGATGAAAAGCTTGGCACAGAGCCTACTCAGGAAAACTTGGGGCATATGCCCCCTTGGATCATGTGACTTTATAGGAAAAGGAAAAACCAGTCATTTGGATGTAGAATGCATTGCAAGTTTACAAGTTAGTCATACAAAATAACCTATTTTCTCTAATCTAGAAAAATAGGTAGCCAGAAGAAAACCTATGTCTTCTAATAACCACAGTTTACTGAATACTTAATGTATTTATGAGGACCAAATTAAAAGCCTCCCCAAAGATGTACATCATCCAAATGAATCTTTCTGGTTGCCCGTTTTGCTTTATAAATGAGGACACTAAGGATCATGGACAGTGCTTTGCTAAGAATATGGCAGGATTCCTTCGGCAGCCTTCTCTTACATTTTTACATTCATGCTAATTACACCGTGTACAAAGGAGTTCCACGTATGTTTACAAAACAAACCCTTACTATACTTCTGTAATTACGAAGTCTGCCACTAAATTACTGTTTCATGTGTTTGTGTTTCAATTATTAACTGTGGCGGCGTATAACTAAGCTGAAAACATGTCATTTCTATGATAATAAGTGAACGCAATTAGCAGCATATCTATTCCTCACACAAAATATATTCATTTGCATTCTGTCTCTTTGTATTATTTAACTGTATTTAGGCCAAGTCATGTCATTTCTATGTTAGCCTTTTTTTTCAATCTAGAGAACTCTGTCTTATTTTATAAGTGTTTTTATGTTGTCTTCTGTAAACAGAAGCAGGAGGGGTGATGAACCCGGTCAAATACTTCACTCACTCGGTTATTTTCTGGTTCTCCTCTTAGAGCTCCCACTTAATGAGATGTGCGGTGATTGCTTTCAAACTCATGTGTGTATAATATATCTTTGCAAATAAATTATATGATTTTTAATCACCGAATCTAGATTCCTGAGCAGTAAGCCAAGTCTCTTTATTACTTGTAAGCCACGGGCAAATGGGAACGTGGCTCCGTAACTGTCTGTGCTGCATCCACTTTATATTAACCAGAATTCTTTGGATGATATGTAATGGAAATGCAGCTTAAAATAGTATAAGCAAACATGAATTAATGTAGGGAACTTAGGGAATGAGAAAAACTCAAATACAAGAATGCAGCTGAACCAAGGAATGAATTGAGCTCAGAAACACAAAGTTCAGCCAGTTTGGCACATCCCTGTGCTTTCTGAGTGTTTCATTCTCTTCTTCTTCTGCCCTCTGATTTATTCTGCTGTGGTTTGCCATTCATCCACAGACACAGACATGGTGGTGTCACCTTATTCTTATATGGCAGCTCCCCCCCGCTTTTAAATCTTACAAATTGACCACAGATTTGTGATTCTGAGACTACATTACTAGAAATCAGAGGTCTCCTCAGGTAACCCCAGCTACCACTCACACACATGCACAAATGAATATACCCAAATCAACCTTGTATGGGAAAGGAAAAAAAAGTTTCTAGAAATCGACTACTTAATATTGGTTAGCTTTTCACATTATGTAGAAATCAAACATACTATGATAGTATAAGTAAGGACAATTGTAGTGGGTAGCCATTCCAGCTTTGATCTGGAAGTTCCAACCCCCATTGAGACTTCGGCAACTGTCACGCCTACAAGGCGGGGCCAAGGGAGGCGCCGGGGGACCCGAGATCTGGATCGGCGGGCGCTCTCTCTGTTGCGGGACCCTGGACTGGAGAGGTGGACTGAGCAGAGCTCCAGAGAACACCGCTGGACTGTGATACACCTTCCCCAGACTCCGCGACCTACCTATTCCTTAATTTGTAAGTTACGCCATTAAATAAATCTCCTTTTAACTACGTGGAGTGGCCTTAATAATTTAACCAATATCTGGCGCTCACGTGGGGCAAGTTCCAAAGGCCTGGGTGGCTCCCGCCCTCAGCCTTCTCCCCGGCTGGCGGGTACCTAAACCCGCCTGCAGAGTTCCATAGAACCAGGGAACGCCTACACGGTTCCATTCCCGAAAAAGGGAGCAGCTAGTCCGGTCTCAG